CTGGTTGTTTCCTTATGGTAGTGATTATTGGGTAGTTTGGTGTTGATATTCTACTAGTTGTTACCTTATGGTAGTGATTATTTGGGTAGTTTGGTGTTGATATTCCACTAGTTGTTACTATATAATGGTGATTATTGGGTAGTTTGTTGTTGATATTCTACTAGTTGTTACCTTATGGTAACTACCCAATAATCACCTACCATAAGGTAACAACTAGTAGAATATCAACACCAAATGATTATTGTGTAGTTTGGTGTTCATATTCTACTAATTGTTACCTTATGGTAGTGATTATTGGGTAGTTTGTTGTTGATATTCTACTAGTTGTTACTATATGATGGTGATTATTGGGTAGTTTGTTGTTGATATTCCACTAGTTGTTACCTTATGGTAGTGATTATTTGGTAGTTTGGTGTTGATATTCCACTAGTTGTTACTATATAATGGTGATTATTGGTTAGTTTGTTGTGGATATTCTACTAGTTGTTGTGATTATTGGGTAGTTTGTTGTTGATATGGTAGTGATTGTTGTGTAGTTTGGTGTTCATATTCTATTTGGTTAAGTTCCTTTTGTTAAGGTAAGTGAAACCTTTATTTGCTTAGTAAGTTTAGCTTACTTATTGAATAATTGTCTTTTAACCTTTAACCTTGTCATGCCCAAGGAGCACTTTTCATATGTCAAGTACACACCAGCATATTAAATAATAATTATGTTACATTTATTTAGTTTAATTTATAAAGACAAAAAGTTTCAACTTTCAATTCTGCACAGCTTTGGAACGTTTTTCCTGCAAACAACACATTTATCAATTTGTTTTTAAACAGTTTTTCTGTGCATCCCAAAGTATTGGTTTATATTTGCTAAGAAACTATCATCCCTTAAAATATGATGGTTCATGTTATGTTTTTCACCTTCCTTTCTTTCTATGTTAATGGTTTTATTACAGAATTTCTTCTTGGCCACACATTCATGATGTCCCACTATGTGGTGTGAACAATTACTAATCACTCTGCTTTAAAATAAAAGTTCCCACATTTATGGTTTGTGTATAAGTATTGTAAACATGGCTTTTAAATCCTCTGTTCATCGATAACGAAGTTCCAGGTAGCAGTTTACTTTATATTGATGCCATTGGCTCCAGCTGGAGCTAATAATGGATACCATGATCGGGATACACGTGAAAATAAAACACATCTAGAGTGAACCACAAGAAAGAACTGGAGCTAATAATGGATACCATGATCGGGATACACGTGAAAATAAAACACATCTTGAGTGAATTGTATTCTTGGCCAAAATCAATTTATATTTAATAAGTATAGTTTGTTTTCAATACACAAGTTATTTTATCAGTGTGCATGTTGTTTCAACACAATAAACTTAACAATAATATTTAATAAATAAGAGCTTGAATCCTTGGAATATTTTGCCATTGCCCACTGTACATACTAAACCTAACCAAACTTACCTGATAAAATTGTAAATTGTAAAATAGCAGACTGCAGGACATGAAAGCCTGTTTTACTATTCAAAAGTTTTTTTTTAAAAACACGTCTAAGAAAGGAAAATTGATGAAGAGCATGTTATCATGAAATAAAAGTAGCAGTTTTTCTTTGCTGTAAGTATATATTACAAAATACTTCTTTTGTGTAGTAATACAAGTTTATCTGATGAGTTGTTACAGAAGAACATTTTTCTAGCTTTCAAACATATAAATTTAATATCAAAAAAATTTAGGAACAAATAGAACATCAACAGAAACTATTCTAGAGTGAACCACAAGCAAGAACTTACCATGGTTACGGGATACAAGTGAAAAAATAAAACACATCCATTATTAGCTTGTGGTTCACTCTAGATGTGTTTTATTTTTTCACTTGTATCGTAACCATGGTATCCTCTTTTATCAGTTCAAATGATTCACCTTAAATGTGACTTGAGTTAAATCTTGAAATTTACACGATAAATTACTTAAATACCTTTTATGCCATTAACTATTAAACTATAATCTTAAAAAGCCTTTCTTTACCACCACCCCCACAGGCTGATAGAAGAATGGAGCGTACAGCACGACGCATCACTGAGCTGGAAATGGGACAAAACAATGCTAAAGTTTTAAGTGATATGCTGTTTAATTACAAGTCAAAGGAAACGTCTCCGGGAGAGAGAGAACTCATGAAGGTGATGGGCCCGTCTGTTATGGTTCTTGTATTTTGGCAGATTTTGGGACGATCACCACTTTCATAATTATATTTGCCGTAGTTTCTTTGTACAATTCACAGTCAACTTAGTTATAACATTTTTTGTTCAGTTCTTCATCAGTTTAGTTATTGTCAGATATTTTTATTTTACAGCTTGTCATTAGTGTAGTTATATTTGTAAGATGTTTTACAGCTCGTAATCACTGTTGTATCCATCAAATTATTGCATCATACTTCTTCGAATAAGATGCTTTCCATTTTCACAACAAAGATAAAGGGATGAAGGTAACAGTAGTTAGTTTAGTTGATTCTTGATTAATTACCAGGAGCTAGCTTGTGCTTATATGTCTATTATTCTCACCATCTACTTGGATGGAAATTACATTTAAAGGTGTCTTTCTTGGAAGGTCTCTTCTCATAGAAGAAATGAAATGTAATTTTTTGATGTTCGATTTCTAATAATTCATTTATCAGTTTCGTATTCACAACTTTATCTTAACGTAAAATTAAGCCACAAAAATAATATTATAGCACAATATTAGTAAGGTGGTACCATGAATTACTAATGTCAGCTCTTGTACACTCAATCCTGAGGTGAAATCTACCAGAACTTATGGTTTGAAACAATGTGAGTTATGTGTTTGTCCACCTAATTACATTTGTTCTAAATAAGTTTGTTTTGTTATTATTGTAGGATCTGTTTGACTGCTGTGAAAGGCTACGTCCCAAACTTTTCAGGTTAGCTGGTGAAATGGATGAAAAGGATGAAGGTTTAGGTTTGTAAATTCTCATAAAAAATATAAAGAAATTTGAAGTTAAGTTTTGGAAGATAAAAAAAGCATGAAATTCATAATGTTTTTTATATTCAAGTTCTATTTAGTCTTACAGTGTTTGGAAGCAAAACTGAGTTTCTTATTTCATACTTATTTTAATTTTTTTAAGCAATTCTTAGCCAACCCCACCCCCACACAGTGGCTCAGCATTAAGTCTGATGGCTTATAATGCTAAATATAAAAAAAAAACACATTTCGAAGCTCGTGGTTAGCACAACATAGATAACTCATTGTTTCGATTTGTAATTAACAAGCAAGCAAAGCAGTTACAAAATGATTGCTAATGTTTTTCTTTATAAGATGATATGTTAGATAACTAGCATCATTTATCCAAAACTTCTTTAAGTGAAATAAGTTTTATTATTTTTCCTCTTCAAGCAGTCTTTCTGCGTTAATCTACATATTTAGCACTACCAAGAGTTTCCCCAAATTATTCAGTAAAAAAGTTTTTTGGACACTTAAAGTAATGAAACACATTTAACTTTCTTTAAATTTATTAAGTGATTATAAAATAAAATATTACACCCAGTGTTTGCTTAAAACTTTTTATAAGGACAGTGAATGTAAACTTCAGAATCTTTTATACATAGATTGAAAAAAAAAGATCATTGGTATGTTATGGAACTTCAAATAGATGATGTACAATACAGGGAACACATGGTCACTGTGAGTTAATGATATGTTCAGGTTACTGTTCTTGTTATAGTAACATATTCACTCATTAATGTGAATTAATGACATGCACATGGTGCTCTTGTGATTGTTATAGTAACTTATTCATTCACTCATTAATGTGAATTAATGACATGCACATGGTGCTCTTGTGATTGTTATAGTAACTTATTCATTCACTCATTAAT